TGTTGTCCTTTCTGCAGAGCCCCGACCTGTCTTGCATAAGCAGAGCTCCTCGCTGCAACTTTACATTCAGGCTTCCAGTTCCAACGAGTCCTGGCAGGAGGGAACCTAGCTTTCACCAGCACCATTTGCAGCTCAGCAGCAGTGGGATCCCTTATTCCATGGGTGAACCCAGCTCACGGGTGTGGCTGCTGCTGGGAGACTATTTCAGAGGTAGGGATTCCTCCAGTCACACCATCACCTCCTTCAGCTTTCTAAAAAGTAGCGGCCTGAGAGCCTTAGTCCTACAAGACACTATGTATTTTCTATTCCCATGCAAGAAATCCTTCTAGGAGGTGATTATGCAGTCTGTCCTGCCTCCAGTCACTTCTTTCCTGGCAGCACTAGTCCCATCAGGAAGCCAAAACACCTCACCCAAAACCAGAGCTTCAGAAGTTGAAATGACCCACTCCCAAAAGCGATTTTGCACAAGTCACAGAACCACCACCTTGGCGGATTTATTTTTTTAAATTCTCTTTCTGGCAGCGGACACATCAAACCCCGCTCCACCCCGCAGAGCCACAGGAGCTCGCGCAGTGCACTCCCTCCACCACGCCACAGGAGATATGCTGCTGTTACCTAACGCTGCTATCACCTCGTGTAAATCTAAGCCTCTGTTTCAGACCAAGAAAACTAATGTGAAGTTTCTAAGAAAAATTAATCCGTGGCTTTGGGTTTGGGGTTTTTTTTTCAGCAGAAAAATCTTAGCTCTGAAAACAACACAGCAGTACCTAAACTGTGAAAGATTACAGAATTCATTAGACTTGTAGATTGCTGGAAAAAGATTTAATAACAACAGGCACCGACAGAGTGTTTTGATTGCTAATAGCACATCAGTTGGCATACAACTGCCACAGTCTCGAGTACCAAAATCCATTTGCACCTGAAGCTCACCTGCACTCGTCAGGCCTCCCCTCCTGCCAGTTCCACACTGGCACCACCTGATTAAGAACGAGAAAACTGTTTAGAAAGGGGCTCCAGAACAGAGCCGTGAAACATGAAGCTTCATGCAATCTCAAACATGAAAGCAAGATGCTCATATGAAACAAGGCGAGACAGCCACCCTTTAAAACTTTTGCTTTTTGATCCCGTTTTATGACTACTTGAGGTTTGACTCCATTTTTCAATACAAAAATAAGATATTCCATTTTGTAAGTTTAGTACACACCTCTCGCATATAAACATCATTTTCTTTTCTCCTTGAGTAAAAAGAGGTAGCTTAAAAGACAAGTTCTCTGTGCTGGAAGGCTACGGAAAGATCACTTTTTGCACTGAAGTTCCTTCTGACTAACCTGCACAGAAAGCAGAATTAAAACTCTTTCCTGTCTCACAGCAGGATTTGTTTCACACATCTCAAAAGAGCAGCTTTTGAAGATGTATGAAAAGCTACATCCCTTTTGAAAATCTGTCCTATTCATAAGTTCTGCAGAGCAAAACATGTGCTCAGTCCTCTCATCTTTACCTCAGCAGATGTGCTACTCCTAGAAGGCAAGAGAGCTCTGCAGAAATGAAACAGGTTGTTGATCCTGAAAGGGCAGAATACAACCTACATTTGCACACGGGCTAGTAAAGAGCAAGAGTGCAGCTGCGTAGAGTTTTCATAGCAGAGAAGACTGGCTGGGAAGGCTGGGAATAGATCTAGCAATAGAACAAGGCAAGAGGAACGGGACCATGTCCCAGAAAATGTGGGTAAGCGAGCTACTAGACTCCTCCTAGAGAGACATTTTTTGGAAAAATTCAAGCCAGGAATTCCAGTATACCTGCTGGAACTCCCCTGAAGAAATTCAATTCTGTGTCTCACCAGGAACATAACCCTCATTTCCAATTGAGGCTCAGCCTGCCCTGTGTACTCACTCTGTCTCAGTGCCCAAGGAGGCCCTGGCTTTATTCAGTGACATTTGGAGAACTGGTGTAATAATGCCACATATAAAGAAGTTCATTAGCTCTGTGTCATTTACACTAGAAATGAAACAACTCCGTTATAGGCTTACAAACTTACACTCGCTACACATTTTACATCAATTCGGCAAGAACAAAGCAGTTTGAGTGAGGCAGATTGTTCCCTACCAAATGTAATGATTCTATATGGTGGCTAAAACCATCTGAGCTAAATTTGGTGCACCACAGGTGTGGCAATGAAACGTGTGAAAAAGTCTCCACATACAAGTACCAGAAAATTGAATTGCACGTTCCCACAAATTTCCCATAATTACCTCTTCAAAACAGTTGCTTAAAGAATACCTTTTCCATAAGCTGACAGCCAAACAGCTGCAGGAAAGGGATATAGATAGAAAGGGACACAGACAAAACCAAGTTAAAGGTATAAGAAAATACCATTGTTCTTCCAATTAGAAATTGCATCAAAACCAGAAACAGGCAACATCACTGATGAGTAGAGTCCCTTCAAACTGTAAGAAAGAAAATAAGCGGTTCCAGAAAACATGCAACAGTGAGAATAGTCTTGTCCCAGACATCAACCCTAAAGACAGCATTATCTTCAAACACGTACTCACTTGAACACAGCTTAAGCACACACCTGCCAAGGACCTTGCAGCTGGCTGTGGCCCGTAGCCTTCACAGGACAAGGTGGTAGCGTTGAGAGTGCTTCATCAGGGACAGGCTTTCTCACCAGAGCAAAGAGAAAAGATCCATGCTCCTGGATCTTCTTGTGAGCTTTGGGCAAGTAAAACACTCTATGTCTGAAGAGACAGTGAAAGCTAAACATTCAGGCTATGGATAATTTGGATAGATAAAAATGTACAGATTTTACATGATCCCATACCATCAGCAATGCCTTCATAATGCTGGTTTGACATTGCCCAGCAGGTGGGGCAGGTAACCAGCAGAAGAATCTGTGTGCCAACAGCAAACTGCATTGCGTCTAATTTTCCTGAAGTGAATGTGCTGTGCTGGAGAAGCTCCCTGCTCCAGAGGAGCCTTCTGGGCCACCGGCAGTTCACCTGCTTCCAGGGAGATGGATTCCTGGTCCACCTCTGTGCAGTGGGACCTGCCTGCTTCCCCATCACGGACAATATATTCTGAGGACAAGATCCTGGCTCCAGAGAAACCAGGGATAGCTTTGCAATCAGCTCATTCATGGACAGGATTTTGTCCTGAAGGTATGGCTGGAGCATTGAACATGATGAGCGCCAAGCATCCCAAAGCACGTACCTGCTGAAGAGCGTAAGCAAAGCAGTAGTATATACCATAATGCCTCTAGGGACTTTCTGTGTGAAACAGGGTACTGCAACCCTGTAGCCACATCACAAGTTCACAAAGGCAGACAAAAGAAGCCAAAACACGTACCAAGTTAGTCAAGGGGCATGGTTAAGCTGTTTTCTGGTGCTGACTGTAGTGAGTCTTTAATCAACTCCAATACTTAAATAAAGATTCATTTTTAAGGAAGGAAACCATAGCGTCTCCAGTAATAACAGCAGTATCTGTACCAAATGCATTTCACAGCTGTTTTCTGAGTATTACCTGACCTATTACATTAGGATGAACAGTACTCAAACAATAAAGTATTTCTGTTACAACATTCTATAAAACAGAGTACTTTGTGGAAAACAAATCTTAACGTGGCACATAACTCAGATGCATTAGTTTCAGAGTGCAGCTCTGTCCCTATTACATTACAGGAAGAATGACAAGCCTATCCCCAATCCACACATCCAAAGACTAACAATTTTGAATTGTTACACAATGCACTTAGCTGTCATCTTCCACTATGGTACAGCGTTATGCACTTCAGAAATGAATCAAGCAAAACCTTGAATATATTGTGGCAAACTGTACTGAAAATACCTTGTTCAATCTCAGAGAGAAGTGGAAAGAATCTTGCTGTGAAATAGCAAAGCTGATCATCATCTTGGTAAGATAATTTACCAGAGTCTAAAAATCTAAGACCTGGCAGAAAAGTTCTGAAAAAGAAAGTTACATTGTAGGCCTCGTACTGACTTCCACCCTCTTAATAAATTCAACTGCATTGGTGATCGGCACTAGGAATGTTAGTGCTGCATAAAATTAAGTTTTGCTTCTTTTGAATGAAGGCAACCATAATGCATTTTTAAGTATCATTCCTGATTATCCCCTCTCCGCCCCAGCTTATCTGGAAATCATGAACAGGTTTTCACTACAGTATTAACCATCAGTGCAAAACTTCTTCCTCACCTACACAGACCTGAATAGTCACAGTATCATGGTTACAATCCACTGTTACTACCACCTCACAGCTTGTGTCGTCCTTTACTAACAATTGGAAAGGATGCTGTTCATCTTCAATCCGGTAGCACATGGGTAACTTACTGTAAGTGAACGTGACCCGATCTGGCACACATTTGGGTAAGTCAGACAAGGCCTCCATGGGAAAAAGGGTTATTGTCACAGGAGAGGCAGACATTTACAGAAGACCTACTAGATCCAATTAGTAGATCCGGTTGCATTTCATAGCTACCTATTAATTATAATATGAACCATTTTCTCTCATACAGTAGGTACCATAGACTGCTGCAAGAGACTGATGCTAGAAGATCATCACTCTTTACAAATTCACTGGCTGACGGGCAGTACCCGGAGAGGTGCAGATACTTAAACTAAATCAGAATAGAGTGGAAGAGGAGCTACACATCAGCCATTACTGTTCCAGCATCAGAAAGAGGCCTTCTTGCTATTCACCTTCTTTTTATTTTAAGTTTGACACAGCTGAATTTCCCAAATGAAGTTGTGGTTAACCTTCCTTATAAAGTATAAATACTATTCCATTCTTATACAAAAGAAATACAGCTGTTTGTACATACACACACTTTGACAGCAAGTCCTTGAGAGAACGCTGTAACATGAAACTACAGAGCTAATACACAGAGCACTGATTTAGCTGACAGCCAGGAAGTCTCTCCCAAGAAACGCAATCTGTTAAGGCAAAGTTCTCACTAGAACTTGCGTGCTTTAACCAAACTCGTAACATATGAATGGGATAATCAGAATTGTGTGACATGCTCTCATACAACTTATTAGTTATATTCTGGTTTACAATCTGTATCCTATAATTGCTGCATTCAACTGAAGCCATCCAATATAGAATGGAATTGCTTGAATACATCTTACTGGTATAAGGAAGCAGCCTTTTTGGATAGCATGATACCAACTCTTTTCAGACACTGAATATACTCAAGAGTAAAATCAAGACACGAGTGAGATCACACAAGGTTTTGGTCATTGTTTTTATGTTGGCTTTATAGCTTTTCTGGTTTCTTTAGGAAATTCCTGCACAGCGAAAGGAATGAAGAATTCCAGAAGAGAGTTGACCTCCTTCAGTTCCAGACTGTATTCCACTGCTATTTTCTCTGCAGTCCATATTTGCGGATGAAGTTTATGATTATTAAGAAGCGTCAGAGCCTCCACAATGGAAATTTTGCCTTTGGGAACTTTCTTAACATCTAGATCTCCCAAGTGGCCTAGTTTTGTAAGTCTCTTTTCCTCCTGTTTACATGGAAGATGTTCACCACCTCCATCTTTTACCTAATTGTGGGAAGGAAAACAAAAAGAGCTTAACATCAGTTCTGTTTACTATGCATACTGTAGCAGCCAAGCTGTTTTCCTATATATGGCATTTCCTGTTAGCTTTCCCATTTTTCACGGCATTAAAAAAAAAAATACATGCTTAGCCAGCCTTGCTTCTTGATATCACAAAAATTGTCAGTTCTCCCACAGACATTCTACATATGTCATTCCCCACCCAAATTCTGAAAAGCTACCATCCGTTGACCTCTAAATGTTGCACAGACTCGCCAGACCTTCAAACAAGGCAAACTACAGATTTTGGTAGCCAAATGTAAATGCAGATAACCTAATATTTGGTGCTGATTAATGGCAAGGGGAGAAAAACCTCATACTACAAATTGGTATCCTTCTTCCAATACCACTGGAAAGCTTTTTCATACAGTCTCTCTCCCCTGCCTTTCATTTTCAGATTTTAGTTTTGCAACTAAAAGATATCCCCTCTTTTGCTGTGTCTAGAGGACAAGCTTTGCTGGACAAAAAGAAACTATTTTGCAGCATCACATGGAGTTTAATTCCCATGACTACTTCAGTGCTCAGATACGTGAAGTCTCTTCTCCCAAGTCCCTTCATATTTCCAAGTCATTTCCAAACCAGCTCTGCTTTCCCCATATTGTCTTTTATTAAGATTAAACCAGTGAATGACACTGCAGAAAAGACACAACAAAAACCTTTCTTAAATTTAAGAAAAAGTACTTTTAAAGTCATCGGAGTCCACAGCCACTGACTAGCCCACAGACACTCTGTATTAACTCACAAGCTGAGAAAACTGACGTGGATGCTACAGCATCTATTAACTGCATGTCTTTCTAAACTACAGAGAACGTCTGATGATGCTACTACTTCTCCACTCCTTCCTTTGTGCTAAAACTGTGCTCAGATAGCGAACAATTTTTCAAGTCTTAATAAAATGATCTGTCTCTGGGTATCTGCCACTTCAGGACTTCAAGTTGGTGCTTTTCCACTTACCACAGACAGACATACCAAATATACATATAGTTATGTATACATACACAATGCACAAAGTATTCAGAATAACATTAGGAAAGGAAGGAAGCTTCTGCATGAAGTTTTGCCCACAAGCCTCCATGCTAACACATTAATTTTCCTAAGAACTGCAAGTAGACACACAAGAGCAAGTCTTACGTGGCAGCAACCTCAGAGCAGGCACGGAATCAAGCACTAAGATTTGTTCCACTTTTGGCTTTTTCTCAGATCTTTCTTGACAGGCTTAACAATGAATATTGAAAGATACTGAAATTAGACCTTCAGCACTTCAGGATTAGAGTCCTAACCTCTATTATGAAAATTAAGGATAGAGGTTATTTGGAAACTTCAGGGAGAGACTGCAGAAATCTGTTTGCATTTTTAAATACTTTTAGTCTTTAATACAAAGTACTGTGAAAGTGGCAAATTAGAGAGACTTAGGAATTTTATTGCTAGATGATTATAAAACTTTTATTACTGAATAAAGCAGCTAGAATAAAGTAGTCCAATAATGCAACAGGTAAAACACACAAGCCATATTGTAACATGGTGGAAAAGAGGATACTGAACCCCAGCCTGTGTTTTACTGGAAGGGGTATATGGTCTGCCTTCCAAGTCAAAACTGCAGCTGCTGGCAATGAGGAAACTGATCACCAAATAATCCTGAAGGTTATGCAGAAAAAACCTAAGGCACTTCCTCAGCCACATAAGGAAAAGTCTCTGCACAGTACGACATTAACATCAGTAAAGACTCCACTAAAATGTTAATGTCTTTGTCCTCTACCACATCCATGCTCCCAGGGTCGTCCCAATCTCTTTTCTTCTAACAGCTCTATGAGAGATCTCTGACAAGCTCCTGCCTCTTTGCCAAAGGCTGGCCAACTGTCCTTCTGCCTCAGAGGAAGCAGAAGTGGGAATTTAGGTGAAAAACAAAGTAAGATCAACATGATATGAAAAAGGAAGACTGCGCAAGCTTTTGAAAGGTTGTATAAACACAATCTGTCACGTGTTCAAGACCCAGGGTCAAACGCAGTCTGTGCTAGTATCAGTCTATATACTATATATATCATATAAAAGAGTAACGAAACCATCACTTTTATCTATAAAAAAGGTAGCTTTTAGGCACTAAGAAAGCATTTTTCTTTATACAGAATTTGTGCTCAGTTTGAAAACCACAAAGCTGATGCTGGTATGCCTCCTACAGAGAGCCATACTCACCCGTGCAGGTGGATCTCTAGACTCGACATAAATATCTTTTAAGAAGGTGAGGAGCCTATCGTCTTTCCTGTAAATTTCGTCTTGTATCTGCGGGTGGTCTAAAGGTAGCGGGGAGAAGAAGGGAAGGCAGAAAAAAAGGGAAGAAAAAAAAAAAAGAGAGAAAAGACAGATCTGAGTCACATTGTTTCCTTTTTGTTAGTTCTGCCGGCTTTAACCGCTTCCCCGGAGGAACGGCACGACTCCCAGGAGGCACGGTGCTTCTCGGGAAGGTTTCACCTTTCCACCGGCTCCAGCGTTAAGCGGCGCCCCGGTACCGCCCAGGCCGAGCGGTACGGGGAAGGCACCCGCTTGCAGGACGCTGCCGTGCGGCGGCCGACTCC